AGGAGATCCTCAAACCATTTTTAAGATGTATTTTTTTGTTGTTTGTTCTGAAACAGAATCTAGTTATGTTGCCCAGCCTGGAGTGCCGTGGTGGGATCATAGCTCACTGCAGCCTTGAACTCATGGGCTCAAACAATCCTTTCACCTCAGTTCCCCCAAATAGCTAGGACCACAGGCACACACTAACACACTTGGGTACTTTAAAAAATATTTGTAGAGGTTGGGTCTCACTATGTTGCCCAGGCTGGTCTCAAACTCCTGGCCTCAAGTGATCCTTCCGCCTCAGTCTCCCAAAATGTTGGGATTACAGGTGTGAGCAGCCACCTCCAGACTGTTTTAAAGATTTTTTAAAAGCCTAGAATAAAAGTGTACCTTTACTCCCTAACTAGGCTGCATAAGCTAACACAACTTAAGAACTCTAGATTTGGCGAGCAGTATATCAAATTCGGTGAGATGTCACTGGTTATCTAAGGTTGTTCAGATATGCAAACAGGAAGGAATAGTAATAGATGACTGAACAAGAGAAAAAAAGAACTTTAATAGGCTCAGTTTTCATGATGAACAACCAGAGGTTGTATTGAGAAAAAGAAAGTTAAGAAAGTGTTGAATGAAAAAAGGTTTAAGAACCATCCTTCATGAAAATAAGTTCTTAAAGAAAACAAAATTGATGTGTTATCTCACATAGACTTATTTCCAGGGTTTGAGGAAGAAGTTGGGATCTGGAGAGACCAGGGTTGGAGAAACTGACAAGCTTGGCAAGGCTAAATCCAAAGACAGTGGCCAACAGTCCACTGCCAGTGGCTAGAGGGGTGCAGCCACCTCTGGCTTGACTCTAGTGAGCACCGGTATTGGAGCAGTGCTATGACCGTGCACAGCACCAGGCAGCAGCACTGGCACATGTGACAATGGCAGTCAGGATGAGTGACAGCATGTCAGATGCTCAGTCTTCCGGGGAAAAGACCCACGTCTGGGTAGTGTCAGGAGTCTGGCCAAATGACCCGGTGTTCAGGACCGGCCTCGACTCCCGCTGGGAACTGGAGAGAAAGCCACAGCTGAAGCCCTGGCAAATGGAATTAAGCAACACCATGCAGTGGGGGGTAACTGCACTGTCTGTGGGCTCCTGAATGTCAAGGATGACACTTCTGCTACCACCAAGTCACTATCATCTGTGGTCAGGACCTCACATCTGTCCCAGTGACTGAGCGAGCGTAGGGAAGAATAAGGACATCATCCAAACCTTGAATTTATCTCTTCCTGATTTCACAACAAAATCTTCAGTCCTCATTTTAAGTTACACTCAAACATAGTGAGCTCCACAAATAAAATGCTGTAATTGTTTCTCAACAAAATAAATAAGAGCATAAGCATATACCCCTTTTCAGTTGGGTTTTGACAACATCTTTTCATGTGTCCCACAAAAATGAAATGCTATTTACACTAGAATATTTTCTGTTCCAAATATACTGAAAGTATTTTTAATTTATCATCAAACTACCCAGAATAAAATAAGGCAGAAGATAAAAGCTACCTTTCAGCTGGATTTGAAATATGATATTATTCACATTTTCAATTTTGCTCTCTGAGGGCAGAATCTAAAGATGAATTCATTTTGGTGATAAATGAAAAGTATGATTTTCAATGATCTCTACGTTTTAGGGTTATCCATATTACAAAACAAAGATCAAGTATGATAAGAAAAATTCTTTCATGTCACCACAATCTATCAAAATATGGTAAACATCCTTTGACAACCTCTGAAGACCATGTGCGTGCATATACAGGACTGTTCTATCTCTGTATTAGCGCATTGCCTAGCATTGCCGGTTGAACAACGGGTAAAGTGCTGGTTTTCCCACACTGCTCTGCAGAACTCTTAACTGCCTGCTGCCAAGGGAAAAAGGAATGGAATAAGGAAACAATAAGCAGATTATATTGTTTTCTTCTCTAATAGAGCTTATCTTAAACTTCATGTGCAATTTAACCAAATAAGGGTTGTGTATAGGAGAAGAATAGTAAATTTCAGAAGAAAAGATTTTTTTCTCCATCCATCTAGCCTATATTATTATATACCTATAGTAGTAATTCTATATCTCATAATAACAATTTTTTAAAAATCTCTAGCTTGCAAGGTGACTATGGTCATAACTGCAAAATGATTGCAATACTATTTTACCTAACATTTCTTGAGTGCTTAAAAAAAGTTCTAGAGTTTTTATTGAAGTGTGTTATCTGCACAAATTGCTTTGTATTGAGAGAACTCTAAGAATGGGAACACAATTGACTTTCTCCCATGTCCCATTTCCCACACAGACGGGCCCTGATTCTTTCTGCCATCAAAGCATGCACCATATGTTCATCAGTATAGACCAGGTTACCCCATGGAAGCTTAGAAGTCCTCCGCGGAAGCATTTATTGGGTGCAACCATAATTAACTACTCAGGGTGGGGAGAGGAAAACCTGAGAATCCATTTTAACCTTGATATGTGAAACTTGAGTACCTGAAATGTTTTGCACATATCAAAAAACAAACTTTACATAAAAGCACTGTACAAATACATATTTTATGTTGTGAAATCGTTCATTAATAGAAATCAGACAGCTAATGTTCATATCGTATTTTTCAGACTGGCTAAACACTCAGTTTATCACTGTGTGCTCCGCTGTGGGTAGCACGTGTGCTGTTCCCACCGAATGACACAGATTTCAAAAAATAAGTATGATTAATTAGAGACATTAAATGACTGATGTGCAAAGTTCCTCTAGCAAGCCCTCCATGTGGTAATTTACACGTGCTAAATATTATAAAATCCTTTAGAGACCATTTTTAAGAGGTCCAGCTACCTCCATGGAGTAAAATATTTGAGAGGAGCAGGAAAATTATAGCTCGAATGTGTATATACACCGTGAAGAATAAACCCCAGTGGAAGGGGATAGGAGGGAACACTTAGAACAATAGGATTGTTGTTATTGACAAAGTGTAAGTGACAGTAATAACAGTGAACTAGAAAAACATACTTCATTTTCAGATTGAGCCAATTCATATAAATATGTAAACCCGGTTTAAGTAATCTCTGCCCTCCCCCAGTCTAATTTTTACTTATTGTTACATATTAACTTCAGAGACTCCCCCAGCTGACAAAATGTACTGGTAAGCTTTGGAGATACGCAGGCCACAGTCATTACAGTTACAGGGAAAGACTGTGACACTAAGAGAAAAGCCTGTTGAAATGACACCTTCTCAGAGATTTGTCAGTCTTTGTCCTTTATTTTGTATTTTCCGTGGGGGACAACGGGCAAAATCTCTGTTCTTGTGACTGTGGCTTTGGAAGCTCAGCTTCTATCTGTAAACTGGGGACACTGGAGCTTCCAAGCTGGAATTCTAGGATTTAGTTCTAGCCTAGGGGCTGCTGTGGGGACTGGGCACCTTCTGCTGCAGCTGCCCCCTGCTGCTGTGACCTCAGGACGAGACGCTCAGCTGCTCTGCCCCAGTCGCTGACCGGACTCTGCAGTCCTCCCAGCCATCATCTCAGAGCCTCAGACCACAGACCCCTGACACATGACCGATTTCATGGCAGCTGACCCAGCCTCGGGCCCCTCACTCAGCGTGGCCGGTCTTCCCAACCAGGCTATCATGCAGCATTGCACAGTGGGCCAGTTTTTAGTGTGTGTGTGTGGTCCAAAAAAATACTTCCCAAACTCTGGGTTATAAAAATCTTACTTCTAGAACCTAGTCACTGGTCATTTCTATGCAAAATTTACCCTCTTTTCCCAGTGTCAGTTTTTTCCCTTGGGAAATGACACTGACTTCCAATAGTCTACACTTCCTGACTTTCTGCAAAGTGGAAATGCTCACAGAGGAGAATGCTTTTTCTCTTCCCAGCAGAGTGACTTCCACTAACACAGCAGGCCTGGCCTTGCCCTAGCTGCCCCCTCTCGCTCTGTGGATGTGAGGAGTGGTCCATCTCCTGGGAGGGGGCACAGGAGGGCTGCTTTTGCCTTCCCCCTTTTTGGAGCAAGGATGCCCATGGCGTGTACGACTCTGCTGCACTCCTCCGTGCTCCAAGTGAGAGAAATGCAAATTCTGCCCCGTGTTGAACAAGAAGGAAGAACATGGGAACACATAGGAACAGGACAAAGTTTGTGAGAGCAAAATATGCAGTAGAGAGACTCTGTGTGGAGCACTAGACAGTGGCCATATGTGTCACCTATTGGGTTCCACGCCTTCTAAAAGTCAACACGGAAAAGGAGCCTTGATGACTTAGACAATTCAGTGTCCACAGATCAACTAAGAGTTGTAGAAATACAACTATCCTTATAGCTAAGAGCAGAAGGCTTTCTACAGGGTCGTGATGAGGGGAGGCCTTGTATAATGTAGTGAGCAGTGCTTCACAAATATCCACACAATTAGCCCACAGGGAGCTGAGTGTCCGGCGGCTACTTCTTAGCACCTCCTTTTTATGTAGATCAAGGGTACCACCCTAGTTCCTGTAGAAACAGTTGTGATGATCTGGAGAAAGATGGAAAGGGAGAGCAGCCAGCACAGAGTTTATGCGTGCATGTCTCTGAGAGTGTGATTTCCTCCAGTTATAAGTTGAGGAATCCTGCATGCGCAAATGGACCGGATACCTGTGTATCCTTCTGGGAATCTTCAGTGAGTTTCTAATAGACACTGGGCAGTAATGAGTTTGAGACTGTATACCCTAGAAAGTGCTTGGGATGTAGCTTCTCTATTTTGATAATTAAATAGAGACCCACTGAGGCTTAGTCACTCAGCTAAATCAACTGCCTGGTTGGGGATACTGATGGCTTGATGGCTTCACCTTGGGAAAGTGAAGGAGGCTCACCCTGACATGTTGGTTTAGAAATAGGCAGCTGGAGCCCTAGTTCAGGGGCGAGAACCAGGTGTGCTTAGACTGCAGGCCTCATGGATAGGACTAAAGAGGCAGGAGCCTGTGTGCAGAGGAAGGTGGACAGGATGTGGTTATGGAAGCAAATCTTACCACAGATTGCTCTTCTTTTAAAGCTTTCTTTGGAGTCTTAGCTTTCTTGGTCCCAGCAGACGATACACTCATGGATGCAGAATGTGGCCTTGAAGCTGTGGTGCTTGGTGGAGACTTGGGCCATGGGGACAAAGAGGCTTCTCTCCCCTTGGCGGACCTTGCAGCCTGCCACACAAAAAGAACCAACTTTGTTATTCTCATTTTGTTTCTTGGATTTGTGTCCCTTTTTTTCACACTCTTCCCCTCCCTTGAGCTGGAATTGCAGAGTTGAGGTTTTCAGGCCTAGACCACATGGATCTGTTTTTGCTGCCAGGTCCACAATCGCCCCTGGCAGGATCTGATCGGCAGGCTGGGCTAATTCCTCCACTCCCTGCCTGTAATCCTCATGTCCTAAGAAGAACACACCAGCAGTCAATGCCCTTTGGAAGACCCTGGAATGGTGGGGTCTATGTGAAGAGGGGTGGGGCGTCAGCTCGAAGCTTGTATCTAGGTGGGAAGAAGGTAGGGAAATTGAGAGTAGGAAGGAAGGTGCAGGAACGTGCAGGGCCTGGAGCTGGAGGATGAGAATAGCAGGGCGCACTCTTCCTGATGTCCCACTTGCTGGCTTTTTGGCTTCTGATTTCACTGTCTGCTCCTTGTTCTCAATAGTCAGCTCCTGATCTCCCATTCACACTTCTAACCTCACTTTATTTATTTATTTTTTAAAAGAGACAAAGTCTTGCTATGTTGCCCAGGCTGGTCTGGTCTTGAACTCCTGGACTCAAGCAATCCTCCTGCCTCGGCCTCCCAAAGTACTAGGATTTTAGGAGTGAGCCACTGCTCCTGGCCTTGCTCACTTTCAAGAATTTTCTTTTTCAAATTCAGATGTTGGAAAATGAAAAACCTCAGTATGCTACACAGATTTGACAAACCAGATGCCAAAATAAGAGAAGCACAAAACAAAAGAGAAACAAGAAAGAGAGAAAACTTAAATACAAACCTTGACACTTAAGCTGCCATACTTTTTTCTCATTTCCTTGTCCTCTTTCTGTTTATTAATCTGTAAAATGGAAGACCCATATCATTGGTTATTATCTGCAAAGATTAAAAAAGACAATTTTCTATAAAACTTCTGTAACCAATGAAGGACATTTTAAACCATTTGTCTGCCAAAACTATTATGGGAATATAATTCATAATATCAAAGAGAAAACAAACTTGTATCCAGAAAAAGAGCTTTCATAAAAAAGTGAACATTGCAGCACTGTTTGCAATAGCAAAGACCTGGAACCAACCCAAATGCCCATCGATGATAGACTGGATAGGGAAAATGTGGCATATATACGCCATGGAATATTATGCAGCCATCAAAAATGATGAGTTTGTGTCCTTTGTAGGGACATGGATGAACCTTGAAACCATCATTCTCAGCAAACTGACAGAAGGGCAGAAGATCAAACTCTGCATGTTCTCACTCATAGGCGGGTGTTGAACAATGAGAACACATGGACACAGGGAGGGGAGCACTACACACTGGGGTCAGTTGAGGGGAAATAGGGGAGGGTCGGTGGGGGGTGGGGAGCTGGGGAGAGAGATCAAGGGGAGAAATGCCAGATGTAGGTGATGGGGAGGAAGGCAGCAAANAACACATGGACACAGGGAGGGGAGCACTACACACTGGGGTCAGTTGAGGGGAAATAGGGGAGGGATGGTGGGGGATGGGGAGCTGGGGAGAGATAGCAAGGGGAGAGAAGTCAGATGTAGGTGATGGGGAGGAAGGCAGCAAAGCATACTGCCACGTGTGTACCTATGCAACAATCTTGCATGTTCTTCACATGTACCCCAAAACCTAAAATGCAATAAAATAAATAAATGGGAAAAAAAAGTAAACAGAAATATATAAAATTGCAAATACCTAAAGTCATTAGCATCTATTCATTGCATTAAGTACAACAAAGATAATAGGAAAACATGCATTATTTGCTTATGAGGTGATAATTTGATACATTATTATAATAGCTGTAAATACTAGGTCTTATTATTAACATAAGCTGGCTTGAGAAATTGAAGATAATTTAATAGCTGAACTTCAATAATGTACCAAACAAAATTTTACTTTAAAAATCAATTTTAAAGCTGGGTGCAGTGGCTTACGCCTGTAATACTAACACTTTGGGAGGCCAAAGTGGGAGGATTGCTTGAAGCCAGGCATTCAAGACCAGCCTGAGCAACATAACAAGACCCCTATCTCTATAAAAAATAAAAAAATATTGGGCCTGAGATTGTGACTTTTAAAAAAAAAATAAGTAAATAAAAATAAAAACAAAAAAATAAAAATTACTTGGGTGTAGTGGTGTGTACCTATAGTCCCAGCTACTTAGGTAGCTGAGGCAGGAGAATCACTTGAGCCCAGGAGTTTGAAATTACAGTGAGCTATGACTGTGCCACTGCACTCCAACCTAGGCAACAGGGTGAGACCCTGGCTTTAGAAAAAAAAATCAATTTTAATTTCCAGGTATAGAAGTTATTGTATCAAAAAATGTATTATTAGTGCATGTTTCCATAATATTAACATTTTTTCATAATATGAAATTTTGAGTAATGCCAGTGATTCTAATTACAACTAATCCCACTTGAAGTTAAATAATGATGAGAAACACATCTAACCATTAATCCCATTGACATCTGAACAACAAGTACAACTGATTTGCAAAATTCTCTGTCACCTATCAATAAAGCAGAACTCAAGAGCAAGCAGGGCTGTCTAGTGACATCTTGCAGTCTGAGAGAATAGTTACTGTTGCCCATGAAGAGCTATGTTTAGTTGGTTTCAATGGGTTTGAATTCAAGCCTAACACAGTCATGATTGGCTTAACACTGGGGATACATCCTGAGAAATGTGTCATTAGGCAGTTTTATTATGTGCAAACATTAGAGTGTACTTACACAAATATAGGTGTACAGCCCACTACACACCTAGACTTTAGGGCATAGCCTATCGTTCCTAGGCCACAAAGCTGCAAGGCATGTTACTGTACTAGATACTGCAGGCAACTATAACTCAGTGGTAGGTATTTGTGTATCTAAACACATTCAAACATAGAAAAGTTACAGCAGAAATATTGTATCATAATCTTATTGGACTACCATTGTATATGTAGTTTGGTGTTGACCAAAATGTCATTGGGCAATGCATGGCTGTATTAAAGTTAAGCTTTGTTGCAATGGTTTAAAAATCATTTTCTTCATACTACTATAAGAATTTCTAGGATATGCTTGTTGATTTCAACAACAAAAAAAAACCCTTCTGGAATTTTGATTAGGATTGTTGAATCTGTAAATCAATCTGGAGAGAACTGACAGTTTAATAATATGCAACTCCTGAATCATGAACAATGGAATATTTTTGCATCTATTTAAGTCTTTATTTCAGCAGTATTTTATATTATTGGCTGTACATGTTTTGCACATATTTTATCATGCATATCCATAAGCATTTCATATTGTTTGATGTTATTATATCTGGTGTTTTTTAAAATTTCAATTTTTGATTGTTCACTGCTTATATATAGAAGTACAAGATTTTTGTATCTTGATTTTTGCAACCTTTCTGCATTCACTTATTAATTCTAGTAGCTTTTTTTTAGATTTGTTAGGATTTCCTATAGAGATGATCACGCCATCTGGGAATTTAAAAAGTTCTACCTTTTCCTTTCCAATGTGGATATTATTTATTTTTGTGTATCTGCATCATTGCACTGGTTAGGACCTAAATTAGATGTTGAACGGAGGTGTTAAGAGCAGAAATTCTTGTCATATTTCTGACTTCAGACTCAAAATCTTCATCCTTTCACCATCAACCATGATAATAGTGCGTTTTGAAGATACCTCTTAACAGCTTGAGAGGTTCTCTTCTATTCCCAGTTTGCTGAGAGTATTTTTTTAAATCATGAATGGAAACTGGAGTCTCTTAAATGCTTTTTCATCATCTACCTGCCTTCTGGCTCCATTATTTTATATTCTTCCTATAAACGAAATATATTTATCTTCACTCAAAGCCTTAGAAAATCTCATCCTACTATAGCATCAGCTTGAAATCTGGAATCTCATTATCTAAATCAGGTCCAGGTGCAGATGAGGCCCTTGAGTAAAATCGCTCTTGATCTGAAGATCCAGAAAGTAAAGAGACCAGTTATCTGTTCCCACACAGCCAATGTTCCATGGTGGGAGAGACCCCACTCCATTCAAGGGAAGGAGGCATACAGCAGTAACTGGTCCATAGAGATTTTGAAATCCAGTGAGGCATATGTTGCCAGTTCCCTGACTAGGCCCAACTCCTGCTCCACTCTTGGAGACAAACTACCACACACGCTAAATATTGTTGGAAAAGTCGAATTTCTGAAGTCCATGTAGTTGTTTTTACTCTACATCGTTTCTGACATGTGGTTCCTTATTTCCTTGTGTGCTTCCTTATCTTTGACCGTGTGATATTAATTGCTCCTATAATTGTAGGAGAGAGTTCTGGGAATTCTCTGAGACTTAGGATTAAAGTACTTCTTTCCAGGGAGTATTTCCATTTGCTTCTTTCAGCAATTAATAGTTAATAATTTCAGTAAATGGAAATTATCTTCTATTCACTTAAAACTAAACTGATGCCATGTGCGGTGGCATGAAGTCCCAGCTACTTGGGAGGCTGAGGTGGGCGGATTACTTGAGCGCAGGAGTTTGAGACCAGCTTATGCGACATATCAAGATCCCATCTCTTAAAAACAAACTAACTGAAGTGAGGGTTTGAGGTTTTGTGGATACAAGCTTGTGTTGCAAATCCCCTGAAAGTCCTGCCTATCAAAACGCTTCAGAAAGAGATTATCCCTCTTGTGTTGCTCAGTACAGAGGCAACCCTCCCCTGCAGGCCTCTGGGTATTAGGTAGGTTGCAGGTTTACATTTGGTCACATTCATCCTGCAAGAATGACCTTTGCTTCTCAGCCTAATGCAAGAGATCACTGCTGATTACCACAACACACACACACACTCACTCTCTCTCTCTCCTTTCTCTCTCTCTCTCTCTCTCTCTCTCGCATGCCCTGGCCTGTGACTTCTGTGTAGTGCAGATGGGTAAATCCCTCAGGACAATCTTAACTTGGAAAGCTCAACTGACCCCTGTATGTTTCCCTTGATGTTTGACTTCTGACCAGGTAAGCCCCATGTCCCTGGTCATTTTTTAATGCTTTTACAAAGATGTTTATAATACTGTATCTAAAATTTTTTGAGGTTTTAAAAAATTTGGGGCAGGAGTCAGTTTGAATGCTAGCTCACTTGATAATTTTTCCCAGTAATCAATATCAGCATGGTTAATATTTAAAAGTTTGAGCCCTTTTCCCCAGAGTTTCAATTTTGCCTCAGAATTCTCTCTCAATACATTAGAGCTGATACATGAACTTAGGTTTCTTTGGAATCCCTGGACTAATAGAAGAAGTTTCCAGGTTTCTTCCCATTAGGGTGATTAACCATCCTGTTTTTTTTTCAGGACTGGGGGGTTTCTCAGGATGTAGGGCTTTCAGTGCTAAGAACGAAAACCAGGATGAGCTGGTCACCCTATCCAGTCATGATCAATGCTTTTAACCACTAAGTGTAGGTGTGAATAATCCGCTCCTCTTCTCTCTAAGGAGGGAAGGAACCGTTACACACTGCTAGTGGGAACAGACAACCCAAGACCCAATGGCTCATTCCTCACTCTGTTGCTTGGTCAGTGAGATGGCTCAGGGGGATGAAGGGATCCTCTGGAAGACCTGCACGACTCCTGCTGATGCAGATGGTATTGATGCCACCTTCTCTAGCTCAGCACTGGGTGCTCCCCTTTTAGAAAGACAATTCCCTGGCCCAGAAGCGCCCACTGTCATATAGTGTGCTAGACGGCAAACTTCCCTATAAATATATGAAGTGGTGTGTAGGGGGATCCCTGTCCCACGGCAATTCCTGTGATTCACCTTACTTAAGCCCTCCTCTTGGTGGGCTAATAAAAAACCAAAGGAGTGTTTCCTGTCCGTTAATTCTCTTCT